TTGAAAGTCAGTTGTCTCTGCTTGATGAACTGGGATCCCATTCAGTCTATCTTCCACGTGTAGCACACTATTGAAATAACCTATTATAAGCCAAGTTCCATTTCTGTATGTTCCTCAGACTTCTCCAAAGTGAGGCTCTAGCATGAATAGTGTGCAATCCATATACAAAAGTTATATAGCTGGAAAATGATGAATTATTATCAGTGACAAAACAGTGTATCATCTGATCAGAACAATCCAATACTTTGACTTTAACATTTGCCACTTTCCATCCTATCCAGATTCTTCCATTTGGTGCATAGGTATAGTTGTCTTTGAATTTCCAATCTACACCAACCTTCCTCTGAATTGCTTTAGCACTTTGTTGTTTAACTCTTGTTTCTAGACAAGCTATTAAATCTACTTTATTCAACAACAAGAACTTTTTGAATTCTTATTGCTTGTAGGACTTATTCAGTCCTCTTATATTCCAAGAGAGAATGATCATGGAGGGTTATGATGAATAGGACTGGTTCCTTCAGCTGCATTTTGAGCTTCACCACTACTAGAAGATGCTCCTTGTTGATTATTGTTTGGTGGTCTTTCCAGTATTGTCAAGGGTGCAAATATATTCCTTCTAGCTAGCTCCTCATAGTTGATATCTCTATAGGTCTTCTTGCCAGCTGATCCTTGAATAACCACAGCTTGCTTGCCTCGATTAGTCACTTGTACCTCTACTACTAGTTCCTGTTGTTTAGGCTCCTCCTGTGGCAGAACATCAGTTTCATTATTTCCTTTGTCATTTGGCTTTGGCTTCCATTCCATTCTTGTCTTCTTCTTCCTTTTCCTTTTATGTGGTTTTAGTTCATCCTCCTGTTGTATGTCTTGTTGGAAATTACCAGTACTATGCCCAAACTTATTACAATCCATACACAGTTTTGGTTTCCACTCTTTGCTCCCAGCTACTTCCATCTGGATTCTCATTGGTTATTCCATCTGGTAGTGGCTGTTTGATATCCATTTCAGCAAGGATCCTAGCACATGAAATTCTTTCACATTGGGCTGTAAGCTTATCAGTGCAAATAGGTTTGCCTAATAGACTGGCAATTCAACCTAGGTTCTCCTCAGCCCAGCACTGAACAGGTAGCCCAGGGAGGTTAATCCATATAGGAACAATTCTCATAGACTCGTTTTGAATCTGAAAATCGGGATCCCAATCCTTCAAGACCATGGGTCTATTATTGACGGTATAAGGTCCATTTTGAACAATTTCAATTTTATCCTCCATAGATTCAAAGCGAAAAATGAAATAAACATCATCATGAAGAAATACCGCGATGTCGTCACTGAGTTCCACCCTCCATAGACGAATTTGAGCATTTCCTTGAACGAAGGGTTTCCTCCTAGGACATATCCAATAAAGGTTGTTTTCCATTTCTTACATTGTTCCTCTATCTCTTTTGGGTTCAGCTTGGCCACTTCCACTCCGTCCTTAACCACCGGAGGATAGAACTTCAGTTGCATGCCTTGTGGTTGTACTCTATTTCCTTTCACTAACTCAGCCATGGTATGCTTTGTACTCTGAGACACAGCTGAGTAGGTTAATTTCCTCGCTGCTGTCAGCAATCCTGGATCCGCTACTTGAACTTCCTCTTTCTCCGGTGGAGCTTGCATGACAGTAGGGGCACTCCCCATGCCTGGCATCCAATGTAACAGTTGAATTGGGGCCAATTTCCGGGGAATACCTATTTCAGGAGTAATCATTCGATTCCTATTATCTACTTGAAGAGGTGATTGTGTAGAGAGGGGAAGGTGATTATTCCGGTGAGTCATCGTGATCGGCGTAGGTTAACTGTCGTGCTCAACTTTCGCCAGATCCTCTCTCTCTACATTCTCTCTCCTTCCTCACACTATTTCTACCCCCTATTTCTTAGCTTAGAGACTAGGTGTCATCACGACTCCTTCGGAGGGATTTTGGGTCGTGACAATTATAGCCTGCAAACAAATATTTAAAATCATTCCCCACATAAAACATATTCCATGTTGCATCTCAAATGAAATAAGTGTAAAAATCAGAAATAGTCTGATTTATATACTTGTTAATTGAAAATTAGCTATGCTTTAAAAAATTAAGCTATTTTTTCATGTGAAAATAAAATCTGAACAACAACACCCTCAAAATTTCAAAATAATTCCAACATAATATGTCGGAGTTTGAATATTTTACATATGAGATTCTAACATAATGTACTGAAATTTATAATTTGCTAGATTTCCAATATAATATGCTAGAAATTTATATGCAAGAGTTCCATAATCCAGCATATTATGTTGGAGCTCTCCGTCTTTCCGCTAGGGCACTTTTTTCGGATTTTCTCTCTGTCTTAAATAATGGTTATGTTTTAATACCTTTGCAAATACTGGCTATTTTTTAATGACTACCCGTAAAAATGACTATGCCATGCCATTTTGACATGAAATAAGACTCTAACTGGGTCGAGAAGAATTGGGTTCAACATTAAAAATAACAACAAAGCCCAATACAAAATAAACTCGGCCCAATCCTTCTGGCCACTCAATCCAGACAATGCAGTAAATCACTGTAAATGAGAAACTTCTGTTCTGTTGGTTTGGTAGGAAGAGCTAAGACACTGGCCAACTGTTTGTTCTCTTCCTTTCCTTTAAGTAGTGTTAGAGCATACGTCATGAGTGGATAATTTGACGGAATATTAATCTTATGATCTAATATATTATATTATTTAAATGAATCTTAGTTATTACTTTATTATTTAATATAATATGTAGAAATATAACAAACTCTATACAAAATCAAATGATACACACAATATAGTAATCAAATAAATTGTGTTCCTTATTTACTCTTTATTAAATTAGCAATTACTTAGTATTATATATTTGCTAATGTTGCTTTTTATATGTTATATTAAAAGAGAAGTAATATCAAAATATTATATATATATATATATATATATATATATATATATATATATATATATATATAATATTCTTATCTTATTTATCATATCCTAGTAGTATTTTTATATTTTTTTTGTATTTTTCATTATGAAATTGACTTTATCATGTATGACTTTTCCATAATTATTTTGATATTTAAATTTATCAATAATATCTTTTACTATTATTTACTTATTAATTTTATCAAATAAATTTGTTGTACGGATAGAATCACATTATATCCATTCTCCTCTTTCTACATTAGTTTTCGTTCAACAATATTTTAATTTTTTTCATTCTAGGTGATAATTAGCTTCTTTTTTAAATAAAATTTATAAAAAAATTAAATTATGTATTATGTATGTTAATAGTTAGTTATTCTCTTTGAGTTTACAAATTTGGAATTTTGAAATTATTTTAAAATAAAAAACAATTCCCCAATTTAAATCGGTATTTTTTTTGTTTTTGTTTTTATTTTAAAATAATTTTAAAACTTTAACTTGAAATTACTCCTCAATTGGAATGGGTAGTTTTTTAATAATATTTTTATTTTTTATTATACATAATTATAAAATATCGATAGTTTATCAATTCAAATTGAGTAACCAATTAATTTAAAATTTAAAATTCAAAAGGATTTTTTAGTTAGAAATGTACTCCCTCCGTTCAAATTTATGTGAACCTGTTTGACTGGGCACGGAGCTTAAGAAAAAATGAAGACTTTTGAAACTTGTGGTCCTAAACAAATCAAAAAGGGGCCTAGAGTATTTGTGTGGTTATAAAAGGTTCTCATTAAGGGTAGAATTGTAAGTTTAAGCTAAATTATTTTCAAATTTAAAAAGTGGTCATTTTTTTTGGAACGGACAAAAAAGAAAATAGGTTCACATAAAATGGAATGGAGGGAGTAGTTTATTTTGTCTTAACAATGCTACTTGTATGGTGTTTTTTAGGGGTGTTCACGGTTCGGTTTGGTCGATTTTTGATTAAAACCAAAACCAAACCAATTTAATCGGTTTTTAAAATTTTAAAACCAAAACCAAACCAAATTAAATACAAACCATCAGTTTGATTGTTGTTGGTTTGGTTCGGTTTGGTTCGATTTTTCGGTTCTTAGTAAGCTAATGATAAGTCGATATAGTAAAACAACGCTAGACAGCAATCTGAAAATAATTTGCTAAATTTATGCTTTTTTATATATTTTTTTCAGAACTGAAAGTTTATTTACCTGTTTATATGAAAAGAATGAACAAAAAACAAATTAAAAGTTTGCTTTCTCAAGCTTTAGCCATTGTTGTCTTGCAATTTGAATTTGCTTTCTTTACTCTTGTGGTGGTTTTTTTTTTTAACTGTTCTGTTAGGCAAAAGTATGTGCGGAGGGTTAGAGAATTAGAGTCTCTTAATGAAAAGGAAATTGGTCGAGTCCCATTGTTTTGGGCTTAGACAATCTTTTAAGATATAAAAGGATAAACCAAAATTCAAAATAACAATTAAAATGCATAAAATATTTAAAATTATTTACAAAAAGATATTATATTGTATATAAATAATTATTAAATTTTGTATATCATTAGTCGCTTTGGTTCGGTTTATTTTTCGGTTTTTTAAGATAGAATCAAAATCAAACCAAATATTATCGATTTTTAAAATTTAAAATCAAAACCAATGCAAATCAGAAAAAAATATCGGTTTATTTAATCGATTTGATTCGATTTTCTGTCAAACCGTGAACACCCCTAGTGTTTTTGCCTCTCATTTTATTATATGTAGATTTATCCTTTTTTTCCTCGTTACGATTTATTTTCCTTGAAAAGGAAAAATTTGGGGCTCGTTCATTATCAGTCCCAGAAGCAGGTACCTCATGTAAATAATAACTCGCGGGTCTCAACGCAGAGAATTGCCTTTCTCTTCACACTTGGCTTCACGAAAAAGCGAGTAAGCAAAAGTTAGAAACTATAAGCGCGTAAAGCCATAATTCTTTGCAAGTACGTCATCCTAATCTCCCACGTTGAATTGCGTGTCCACACCATGACTAATCATGCACTCCTTTGCCATCTCCTCTTCGTTTGCTAACCAAAACTGCAATATTTATTTTTATCTTTTCCACCAATTTCCAAAATTGCAGCTGCCACTTTAATGCCCATTAATGATCTACTCTATATATTTCTCTTTCCCTAAGCCATAAATTTCTTGTATTTTGCTCTTGAACTTATTTGTTGCAAATAGTAGCAGTAGCTATGGCGGACAATTCCTCTCAGTTGAAATCCGATGCTATATTTGAGCAAATGAAACTTCATCTCACTACTGATGCTGGCAAGGCACTCATCAAAAATATTGGCCTCGTTTACCAAATCAACATCGCCCCTAAGGTAAATTCCCCCCTTTTCCCTAATTTTACATGCCTGTATATATAATTTTTTTATTTTCCTTAATTTGATGATTTTTTTAAAAAAAAATTTTGATATGCAGAAAATTGGATTCAATGAGAAGGTGTATGTTGTTGATCTGAAGAAAGGAGACTGTAAGGAAGGTTGGGCCTTTTTTTCTTCTTCCTTTCTATTATCGAGTATTTAAATGAAATGAATCCGAATAAATAGAAATAGTTTTAGAGGATTTATATAGTCGATTCCAGCTAATATAGAAATTGAGAGTGAAATTGTTAGCTACTTGTTACTGATCGCTTTAAATTGTATGGATCCGGGATTGAATTTGGATATTTGGTTAATTGGGAATTTAGGGCCATACGAGGGTGGGAAACCCGATGCAACCTTTTCATTTAAGGATGATGATTTTGTGAAGATTGCCACTGGAAAAATGAACCCCCAAATTGCTTTTATGAGGTATTATTATCCTTCTATTTATCCTTTTCAGTTTTTTTTCGCAACTTTTTGATCTTTTAAAGTTTCGAGCTTTTTGATAATTTGTGATTTTCGAATGGATTTTGATGCAGGGGTGCAATGAAAATTAAGGGCAGCATAAGTGCAGCACAGAAATTCACACCTGACATTTTTCCAAAGCCTTCAAAAATGTGAACAAAGCTACTACCAAAATGTCAGTAGGGACTGTTCTTTTATATTTTGTGTCACCAAAAATCAACTCATATGATAAAAAAATTATGGAGGATTTGAATTTTATTTGTCTGTTCTTAGGGTATAATTCTGTGTCCCTTTAATGATGTATTACTGGGCTTTCCATCAAGGAACTGAAATATAAATGTTCACATTTTACAGAGACTGATTATTGTGTCTTCAATTCACATTGAGCTTATATTACATAAATGATTCTGCTTTATGGTTATGTCTATCATTTTAGTTATACTGATACAAAATCTTAATTATCTGTTTTATGGTTATGTCTCCATATAGTTGGCCTAGGGATGTTCCTTAAAATACATGTTGATGTTGGTTAATCTTGATTACCTTGCTGGAATTTCAGTTTATTTTGTTGAACATTGCATCTGCTGTAGCATTCTGTTTCTTTTTGTTTATCATTCCAGTCAGATGAATTTAAATGGAAACGTGGTTGGTGAATATTCACATAGCCGATCCTAACTAAGACGTATAGCCCGTTTGGCCAAGCTTCTAAAACCACTTTATTTTGAAAAGTGCTTTTCTCAAAAGTACTTTTAAAAAAAGTATTTTTGGTGAGAAATAGTTTGTGTTTGGCTAATTAATTAGAAAAACACTTTTGAGCAGTAATTAGTGTTTGGCCAAGCTTTTGAAAACTGCTTCTAATAGCCCGTTTGGTCAAGTTGCAAAAATTAGCTTATTTTGAGAAGTGCTTTTTTTCAAAAGTGCTTTTCTCAAAAGTACTTTTGGTGAGAAGCAGTTTGTGTTTGGCTAGTTAGTTTGTAAAGCACTTCTGAGCAGCAATGTGTTTGGCCAAGCTTTAAAAAGTTGCTTCCAAGTGTATTTTTCTCAAAAGTGCTTCTCAAAAAAAAGTGTTTTTGGAGAGAAACTATTTTTTTCTGCTTCTCCTCAAAAGCATTTTTTTTCTTTCCAAAAGCTTGGCCAAACACCTCAATTTTTGGCTAAAAATGTTTTTGGCAAAACAAAAAAAAAAGGCACTTTTGGCCAAAAAGAAGCTTGGCCAAACAGGCTATAAGTGTATTTTTCTCAAAACTATTTCTCAAAAAAGTGGTTTTGGAGAGAAGCTATTTTTTTCTGCTTCTCCAAAACTGCTTTTGCTTCTCCTCAAAAGCACTTTTTTTCCTTCCAAAAGCTTGGCCAAACACCTCAATTTTTGGCCAAAAGTGCTTTTGGCCAAAAAAACACTTTTGGCCCAAAAAAAAGCTTGGCCAAACAGGTAGTTGCCGTACTTCTGTTGCAGTTGCAATTCACACGGAAAATTTTATTTTGTGTCTCATACAACTGACACTAGTTGTGTGAGGCTCTTTTCTTGTCTCACAGTTTTGTGGACCCAGATTTTTGTGGACCCAGAAGTGTAAGATTGAGGTTCACAAATTTGTGAGACAAAAAGGAGCCTCGCACAACTAATGTATATTGTGTGAGACACACAATAAAACTTCTCCAGTTTACACCGAGCGTAATAATCAGTCGGTTGTTTCAATTATAAATAGCTTGCAGTTGACAGTGACATATGGATCTTTTCTTTTGGGTGAAGTGGTTAAATGGCATTGTATAAAGACCAATAGAAGGAAGGCATATTTAGTTGGATTAACTTAGAGGAGATATATCAGTTTCAGAGTTTTTGTCTAATATTGTCCCTTATCTATGAGGGTAGGTCTACTTTGGTCCCTCAAATATAACCCTGAGCATATTTAGTCCCTTACATATGTTAAAGTGGGGCACCTTTAGTTTCACTGACACAATGTGTTCAAAAACTAACAGTGTTATCCAACTCTGATTCATGAAGCAAATCTTCTTCTCTGAAACAAAACGTTTTTCCTTTTATTGGATAACACAAATTATCACTTTAATTCCTTATTTTTAGAAATGTCTTCTAAAATGTTGACCTTCAAAGTATCCCCTTATGTGTCAGTTTTTAATAAGAAAATGACACTGTATAGCCGCTGTAAAAATAATAGTCGAATATATATATATATATATATATATATATATATATATACTTTTTGACTATTAGATGTAAATAATTTCTGATACGGGCTAAAAGTGATAATAAAACCTGGTTATTCTTTTGCTTCAATAATATGCCTAGAAGTGATCCTGGCAGCTTTATTTTTCAAATTTTAACTTTTCTTTTTGGAAAAATCAAACGAAATTTTTAAATATATATATATATATATATATATATATATATATATATATATATATATATATATATATATATATATATATATATATATATATATATAT